CATTGGGTAGGGACAGAGCTAGACATTCTGCGTAGGTACGTTAGTGCACCAGCACCTATAAGTTGGCTGCCTCCCCGGTTTTACTCTAACTCCGCTGACATGTAGAGTTATAGGCGCTTTCGGTGACGAATGCAGAGGCTTGGCTCTGCGTACAACGGGAGCAAACGACCCATACATTTGTAAGCGTACTGATACGATAATATGATTACGGACGAATAATGGATGTTGTTGAAGCAGCGGCAATGTATTATCCTTTAAGTGGGTTTATACTGAATTCTCGATGCTACCCAACAAAAGCGACTGACGGTCTGCTATCTTAAGCCAGCCAGTTGCCATTCTCGTCCTCGTAGCCCATATCGACGTAGGTCCAGCCCTGCTGGGTCATCACTCCATCGATCTCCATGTGCTGCACCGCAATTCCGTTGGAGAATCTCTCCTTCTTGATCGTCTTATGTGCCTCATTGATCTTGTTCATCTCCTCCTCGGTAAGGGTGACAAGGCGGATGTTCTCCTCAATCCGCTCCTTCTTGGCGCTCTTTGGGATGACGGCGATGCCGCGCTGGACGCACCAGGAGAGGGACACGACGCCTGCCGAGATACCATGTGCCTTTGCGATGCTGGTGAAGAGCTCGTGGTTGAGAATTTCATTCTGGGAAGGACGCGATCCACCCATTGTGCTGTCTCAATTAGCGCCCCGTCCATTTGTCCAACATGTCTTCGATCCTCGCTTAAAGGTATTAAAAAGCTCACCTCCAACTCGTGACCACAATGCCCTTCTCCTTGCAGTAAGGTACGAGGTTCAGGTTTGGGTTGAAAGCATGCAACTCAACCTGGTTAACGGCAGGCACGATAGTGGCCTCCTTGAGCAGCTCATCCATGACCTTAGGCATGAAATTGCTGACGCCAATTGACCTGCACTTGGGGCCGACCAGCTTCTCCATCGACTTCCAGGTCTCGATGAACGTTGGGCTCTCCCACTTCTTCAAGACCTTCTTCTCCGGTGCCGGAGTTGTGGCCCAGGGCCAGTGCATGAGGAATACGTCGATGTAGTCAAGGCCCATGGTGTCCAGTGAGATCTGCAGGGCCGTCGCGGGATCGTGATGCCACTCTCCCCAGAACTTGGTCACAACGGTGATCTCCTCACGGGGCACGCCGCTGTTGCGAATGGCCCTGCCCACAACGTCTTCGACGCCATAGAGCTGAGCGGTGTCGACGAGACGGTATCCGGAGTTGAGGGCGTGTATGACAGAATCCTCCATAGCCTTGGAGTCATCTGATCCTGGAGTGCCTTCAGGCTGTCAGACTCAGTGGGACGCGTTCGGTATGAGAGCTCTCCCTACCTTGCCATGTTCCCAGACCCACGGCGGGGAGTTCGAGGCCTGCAGAGAGTCGGTCAGCCCATGGGAACTCATGAGATGCGTATCATTTTTCATGGCGATGAGTATCGTACCGTTGTTCAGCTTGAACGTCTTTGTGCAGATAGGAGGTGCCATTGTAAATAGTGCTGTAGCTAATGTTTCTAAAGATAAGGGCAAGATGTACGAATCAATATCGAGGCTCTTGATCTGATTATCTGCCCGTTGCGATATTCGGTTCTCGACCGCCGGTTGCGGGACTTTTGTGCGGGGGAAGCTCTGAACAAAATTACGTCATGTCAACCAATTGAATTACATATGAAGTCGAAGCCACTCGTTTCGCCAGTATAAAGATTTATCCGTAACGATAAAAAAAGCATCGCATCGCGGCCAGAATTGTATCCCCTCGGCAATGCATACGGTGTATAAGTACCTAGGTAACGTGGAAAGACGGCAGTTTCGTGCGGTAACTGGGGGAAAAAATAACACGCGTTTTAGTGCGAATATTGAACGCAGAACCGAATGACCGGCTAGAATTCATATGTTTCATTAAAATGTGAGCGCATAATTTACATGAATACTAGTCGCTTTGCAATGCAAATCCAGGTACTCGCGGTGTCTCTCAGGTATCTTGACCTGATGTAAGTTGCATAGGTATGCTATATACGCCTCCCTCGTTCTCCCTCACGCGCTAGGTCCAATGCATTCGTGTCCAGATGCATAATCCATGCCCCAAATCATCTTTACGTCAGCTAATAAAGCCCCGGCGATGGCAAAGCCTTTGCCCAATATGTCCTTGAGCAGGACAGCCACTCGTTGCCGAATATCATCTCTCTTAGCCTCCAAGGCAACGCCCATGAGCACAACAAGATAGCTCCATGACTCTAGCCCGACAACGGGAGCCCGTTGTTCTAGCCTCTCTAGGACGAATAATCCATGTCCTTCGAGATCCGGCATGTCTGACATGTGTGGCAGGTCCTCGTCAATAAGCTTCCACGCCGGATCCCAAAATGTTCGCGTTATTCCCATTAGCGAGAAATGGTAAAAGGCCTCGCGCAGAATGCCGAAGTCGCTTTTGTCCGCCTCGTCGTCATCGTCGTATCTATCTCCTCGAAGGTTCTCCATCACATCAATGACCGCTGCCGAACTTTCGATAATCTCCATTCCCTGCTGCAAAAGCCCAGCTTCTGATAGTATCTTCCTGAGCTCTTCGTCAGGTGGTGGTTCAGCAGCTAGATGGCGGTCATTCAAAACGTGGCGCGCTTGTCGCACCCATTTCGTTGCCCTACATAAATCATGAGCTGACTTGTACCACACTGGACTGACTCTTTCCCCGAGAGTTGGCTTTTCTTACTTGTGGTGCAGTCGCGCAAAATTGGCCACGTATTTTGTGTAGTGGTGTAATATGGCGGAGTTAATGCGAACTTGGCTAGTAATCGCATCAATATTGTCAAAGAGCTTTGGATCGTAGAGTTCGACATCGACAAGAAAGGTGTCCTCGAACGATACTAGACAGTGGTAAGTTGCCATGAGCGAGTAGTTCATCAGCAATCCTTTGTCAAAGTACAAAAAAGGTGCTCTTTTTCTCTCCTGGACCTGCTGTTGAACCTTTTCCGTCAACTTTCTCATGGTGGCCTGAAAGAAGAGCCATGACTGGCCAGTCATTGTCTGTTCAAAGCCATTACAGTCAGCTCTGAGTATGATAGAAAATTAGGGTAAGATGCTGCGTGTTCTCAGTGTTCAAGTCCCAACTCACCTCGGCATAAGCCATCAGAATCCCATACAGCAACATCAAGTGCTGGTCACTGCTTTCGGGAGACGTGAGGACGTCAAGGAATTCTTTCAACTTATATCGGTCTTGGGCCATGATAGTGGCTGCAGCTTTTTGCTTCTTTTCTAAAGCGGTCGTCTTTGAGTACTCTAGGCATATTTTGCCAATTGTTGTTACAACGGCACGAATTGGCATTGACGTGTCGAGGTATGTCCGCATGAATGACAGCGAAAAGACATCGGTCATGGGTGAAGGTGAGTCGCCCACGAACGCGAAGAAAGCCATTGTTATGTCAGCCGGCAAGGGCTCCAAACTCCCCGGCGTTGAGCTTAGACATCCTGGTGTGGTGATCTTTGATTCAATGGTCGCATTGGTGGTCGGTGAGCTTTCGCTCATGGAGGAGATTCCGGAACTTGACTGCGACCTTTCCCTCGCATGCCGAGATTGCCGGCAATCACACTGTGATCATCGTCAACAGACGTTTTCATAGATAGTATCTCATGTCACGTCTCAGTCCACTCACCGCAGCCGGCAACCTGTGACACGACAGACATCGTCGTCGCCCAGGTGATGCCTTGCTATGGGGCCTGCTTGGCTTGTTGACTCTGTATCGATTCATGGTCACGCATGACCCCACCGTATGTGTTTAGCTCAAGTTTGGCTGCCAAACGGCATTAGGGCAAGGTAATATGAGATGGTCCGAATACAACGATAACCAACGCGCCGGGTACCATTTGAATGGTGTGACGGAGACAAAGGAGCCGAACTTAACCCAGCCCAAGTGCCGAAAGTCAGTGGAGGGAAAAGAGTGGGAGGGAAAAAAGAAAAAAGTATAGGGTGCCGGTCGGCGATCCTGAAGCTTTGGCCAGCGAGCAGCTTCTCTGCCATGGGGGCGGGTTCGCCCGACAATTGAAGGCTTTCTTCACCACGTGTGCATGAATCTCTTCTGACCTTGAAAGTTTCCATAGGAAGTTGAAGTGAGCTGTGTAGCTCCTTTGGCGACCAAACATGGGCAGGGTTGCCATGTTCCATGAACCGAGGAACCTGACCCCACGGATAGCTCCTCCTACTTTTATTCCATGGCAGAATGGTGTGGAGGGGGATGAAGCACGGCGGATGAACTTAGACTTTGGGCCGACTGTTCTGCCGCAAGGGCCAGCGCGACGAAACGAATGGAGGGGAAAGAAGGGAGAAAACCCCAGGTCTCCTGCATGGTACCCGACCGTGCGATGCTGGGGCCTTGGTTTCGGCCTGTTTATACAATCCGTTTGCTTGCTTGCCTGCATGCTCAAGTTGAAGATGAAGTGAAGAACTACTCTCATTCACAGTCGGGGGCTTCCGACCTCGCACGAGTAGCACACTATTCGTTCTGTCCGCATTTTTACCGGCAGGTATGCTTAGAGCGGGAAGTGGGCAATAATCTGAAGTCGTGAAGCTAAAACACCCAACTACGGACGCTAGTTTTGACTCCGTGATGGTCAGACGGAGTCGAGTCATGGAAGTCCTGGCCCGCTACCTACTCCGCTGTCCGTCAACGTCGCTTAAACAGTCTTTCAAGGCGCTGCGGTCTCCGCATGCCCCCGACTATTGCAACGATCTTCGGTGCCGTCATAGTACATATCGATTGGGCTAGGTCTTGGGAATGAAGAGTATCCCGCCGGCTGTGACCTGCGAAACAGATGTTCAAGCCGAGCGAACTCGAGCCTAGCCTACCTGAAAGCTCAAGAGCCTCTGACCAGGTGCCTACCAAACGTAGTAGCTGGGAGACTTGACATTGTATTGAGTAGCCAGATGGAGTGTTTCTTCCGGTGAATTTGAGAAATAGATGACTAGCAAATAAGGCAAGGGGGTTCTGAGTTCCTGATGGGCATCACTTAGACAGCATCCTTATTTCCGTCAGCGTTCTTCTTTTCCTCGAGACCAAACTCAGTTTCCAGCTCTTTTCTCAGCTCAACCTCTCTCTCCAAGAAGCTCAATAAGAAAGCCAGGCCACCGAACGCAATCGCGATGAGAAAGACCTTTCTCATAGCCTCGGTGAATACATCAATGATCTGACTTCTCGTCGGCTCATCGAAGGACTCGACAAAGGCTTTAGTGGCGCTGGCATACGCATTGCCATGCTGTAAAATACCCCGAGCCGCAGGGTCATCTATCTTCTGCGCGGCATATGACGATGTATACGTGTTGAAGATGGCCGCGGGGATAGCGACGCCCCAGATACTCCCAAAACTGCGGATGAATGACCAGCTTGCCGTCGCGGCAGCTTGATCTGCTTCTGCAAGACCTGCCTGGAAGGCTGGCAGCAGAGTGTTGAGAAGCATGCCTGAGCCAACGGCGGGGACGACTTGTACGAGGACCCAGGCTGCTGTGCTGCTGTACCTGTCCAAGACGGCCCATATGCCGAGACCGAGTGTCATGAGGGCAAAGCCTGCGATGTGGAGAGCTTTGTAGCGGCCCCATCGTGCGAGGACGACGGCGGAGATGGCGGCGCCCGGAATGGAGATCAAGGTCACGGGGAGTAGTTGAACACCTGAACGAGCTGGAGCTGAAAGCTTGACGGCCTGAAAAGTATAGCGGGAGGAAGAAGAATGCCCAGTACAGAATTGCGGAATTGAGGAAGGTGGTCGCGTAGATAATGGCGGAGGTCCGGTTCGCGAGGAGGCGTAGAGGCATCACTGGTTCCGGGACGATGCCTGATCCCTCAAAGATGCAGAAGGCAACGAGGCCTACAAGGCCGAGAACGAGGGGGATGATGACGCGGTAAGAGGACCAAGAGTAGATTTCGCCGCCCCAGGTGAGGGCTATGAGAACGGAGACTGTAGATGCGATGAGGATCGAGTTGCCAATGTAGTCGATTCGGCGAAGTTTGCCGTTGAAGGTGGCGGTCCGATCCCATTTCACGTGAAGGAAAAGATAGAGGAGAACGAGTGAGAGGCCGCCAACTGGGAGATTGATGTAGAACACCTGTTCTGTCAGTTTGGGTTGGAAAATACTGGCATGAAGGCGAGTGCTCACCCATCTCCATGAAGTAGTTTGCACGATGATGCCTCCCACGAACGGTCCGATTGCCATGCCGACCCCGTATATTGCCAGGATGATGGCGATATAATTACCTCTATCCCTAAGTGGGACGAGGTCGGAGATGATGATGTCGATGATCATGTTTATGCCACCGCTTCCCATGCCTTGCACAGCTCGCCCAGCGATGAGCATCGTCGGGCTACTAGCGCCACCGCAGATTCCGCTGCCAAGAGTGTAGATTGCTACGATGAATAGCGTGAGATATCTGCGGCCGAAAAGATTGGAAACCTGCCCAAAGAGAGGCTGGACAGCCGCACTTGATTGCACTTCATATCAGTATTTTCGGCCACATGTAGCTGGGCTGATGCTCCGAGACTGACCTGGTGAGAAAGAAGATGTTGCCAACCCAGACATAGCTGCTCCCAAACTTCAAACGCTCAACAATAGTCGGCAATGAGGTCACAACCACTGTGGTCTCTAGGGAAGCGAGTAGAGAAGTGATGCATAGCGCGAACACGATGACCCAGAAGCGTATGTCCTTCCTGTACGCCGTCGATGCCTCGACCGCAGTCTGGCTGTCTTCTTTCTGGCCTTCAACTTGAAGAGAATGTGTCTTGCTGGGCTCAGTGAGAATATGCGAAGAGTTCAGGTTCTCCAAAATTTCGCTGCTGGAAGCCGGCTTTGCGGGGGGCATCATCGCGATTTGGGGATTGGGTAAAGAGAGCAACGGGAATGCAGATGGCCCATGAACACGAAGAGCATAGTCCTACTCTCTCGTCCTGTCATATATAGGGAATCTCCATCTCGCGTCAGCAGGAGGCTTTCCAGGTAGCAGGGAAGTCAGTCGGAGGCTTACACTGGCGTCTTCGTAACTGGTCAAGGGAACAATCCTTCGACGTGAGCAGCAGCGGAGGCTTTTAGTGAGACTTTTCGCGCACTGATTGGAAGCGACGCTAAACCCGGCAAATCATCTTTCCTAGCGTCCTCCAAGGCTTTGAATCAAATGTTCAAAGAGGCCCACCAAAGATACAGCCTCAATATCGTACAAAGTTTTTGATCGTATCATGATCTACCTCACACAGGTACTCTACATGTAATGGCTGTATCCATAATTGGGATACTGCCCGACATCCACGTCATAGCCGATGTACATATAGGACATTGCTGGCCCACCACTGACACCTACAAACCCACCGCCCGCAGCGTCGCCGTTGCTGGGGTTGACCAATCGGCCACCCTTCACGCGATTAGCAAGCTCGGTGAGCTCTTTGAGCAAGACACCCGCCGAAATAACCTTGAAGCTTTCCAGCTGTGTTGCTCGGTGTCCGCGCTCAAGGTCGGTACTCGGCAGCAAACCGACCATGAAGCACGCATATGACATCTCCAACGCATCCTTGTTCGGTGCCAAGAGCCGTTCGATGTCATCGTCAATCTGGCGGGTGCCAGTCGGTGCAGGATTATTGTAGATATCGGTAGGTTGGGCAGCTTTGTCTCCCACATTGCGGAACTTGCGCCGCATTTGTTGCACCATGAGGTCGGCTAGTCGATCGAACTCTTGCTTGAGCTTCATTGAGTTGTCCTTTTGACGACGAGTCTGCGCGCCAGTCTTGTTGAAGATTGAGCCGCAGAACACCTCGACTTCTGTCAGCTGCTTCAAGTGACTGTCAGAGTACGTTGTCATGGCACTGAAGAGATGGTCTTCGTATCTGGAAAGACTATTAGCTGGAAACGATACACTAAATCGCCACAACGTAAGTCCCAGAGCCACTCACACGTCACGCAAGCTTTTCGCCTCCCTAAGTTTCGTTTCCCAGCTCACTCGCCCATGAGTATAGTCTTTGATCTTTCGCTCTATTAAGCCTACAAACTGGTCCCAAACCGAGGGTCCGGTCTTGGGGATGGATCTCTTGATTTCATCATCCCAGATCTGCTTTTCGTCGACATTGCGATAAAGCTCGCCGAGGATTTTGTCTGATTTGTAGTATCGGTAAGATGGTACGAAATCGTCGTCATCGTCGTCGACTGCCTCGTCCTTGCCAAGGAAGTCGATCTGCGTTCGATCGTACAGCTGAGCAGGGGGTGCGGGCGCGAGGCTGTGAGATATATCAGCAGTGATAAGCTACGCCGAGCGACAACATGGACTTACAAGTCCGGGCGAAAGATAGGCGCCTTTGGGATATCTTCCCGCGCGACTGGGATGCCTGTCTTCGAAAAGTCCACAGCAGTCGAGTGTAGACCGGCTAGTTTGATGCAGTCGCCGCTCACAGTTCCTTCATGATGTTTATCGGCGAGAATTAGATGCCTAGTGGCAATCATGCCGAGTACGTCAGACTTCATGAAGTCAACAAACCAATTGGCCATGTCTTCTCTCGTCACTGATCGACCAAGCGGCTCCGGTGTTACTCTGGGGTAGTCGGCAGCTTCATATACCATTGCGGGCATTGCATCATGTTATACAAGTCGCCATCAAGATCACCACCGCTGAGCTTGCTAGGCAAGTCGCGCTCTCCAAACTGACTAAACGCGATGCAGTTGCGAAGGTTCCGTAAGGGGTGACCTGCCGGTGGTACTCTAACCATAACTCGCTGAATATCGCCGGGGTGAAGAGCTGGCGAGCGCGTCACGAGCATGAAGGTACCATCCTTGATAGATCCGACAGTGGCTGGCTTTCCAGGTCTTCGGAAAGTGTCAAAAGAGACAAAGACCTGGCCCTCCTTGAGAAACTTCGTCTCATCCATGATTCCAAAAAGGGTGGCGCCATTAGGAACGGGTATTCTGGCTTTGTGCTTCAACAATCGCAATTCCCGTAGAACAATCGACTCGACCACTGCTCTCAAGAACCTGTCTTGACGGTAGTCTATGCCGTATTTGTCAAGGCTCTTGACAAAGGTCGACAGGAAGAAACTTGTGCCGATGGCCTGGAGATGCAAGAATGTTGCCGTGTTGTACGCATCGGCTGTTACTGCCCGAAGTCGATCAAGCTCCATCTTCTGCAGTCGGAGAAACCATTGCTTGGATACACCCAAGTCTTCCATGATCTTAATCAATTGCCGGTTCAGCACCAATTTGAGAGGCCGTGATGCCACGTCACAAATTTCGAGATTCTCCCAATCCTTACTGGGGAATTTCTCCATGGACTCTTTTCGAATGCACACCGCTCGACCCTGAAGCCTTGTGTCCAGAGATAGCATTCCTTTGACACCTCCCCACCTGATCTGCAAACAAGTAGAATGGAACGAGCCTCGTGGCAGGCGGGGCCAAATCAGCTCGAGAGCTTCGCGGGAGATTGTGCCGACACCATCGCTGAAAACGCGTTCAGTTTTCCCCTCCATCGATTTGACATCCGGGATATAGTAGCGGTTGATGTCGGCCTCGCTGATGGAAATGAATGAGGGGGTTTCCGAAAAGGCCTGTCCGATGCGAGCGGCGCACTTGGCCGGGATTTGTATCTTGTCGAAATCACCTAACGATTTGATGATGTTTCCGTACAGTTGCAGTTTGTTCCAATCGTCAAAGAATGGAGCTGAAAACCATGCTGAATGGGATCGCAGTGACGAGTGGGAGAACCCAAGAAAGCCATAGACTCGACCAGCAATCTCCAGGCCCTTGCCCAGGATGCTCTTGTAGCGGTCGAAGATTTTATCGTAGGAAACCTTGCCACTGAAGAATAGATCACTACCATCTTCGTCGGCGAAGGTGACTCTCATGAAATAGTCCGTCTGGTTTGGATATTTGCGAAGTATGCGATTGAGAGGCTCCAGATCAGGTCCATGCAAGGTGATTCTCGTCGGGGTCACTGTGGCCTTGAAAATCCAGGCATGATGATCGGTTATCTCAGGCTCCAGCAGGACATCTCTGAACTCGATGTTGCTTTCGGATTGCAGACGTTTCTCAGTGGAGATGAGGTATTTCAGAATCTCGTTGGGATCCAGGTCACTTGGGTCAGTGTTATGACACGGGTAGTCGATTCCATCGTGGCCAGTGCCATGCAAAACCTTGAACGCCTGCTGGGAAACGGGCTCCGGCTTGCCATCTAACTTGGCGCTTTGAAACAATTTCTCTAGGGACATCAACATGGTGTGAGCACTGCGTGGATGTAAAAAGTTGTTGAAGACCAAGGACTGCAGCTGAAACAGGATGCCAAAAGGTAATGCCTTGGCGGATCCGGCCTTGACTAGGCCATCGTAGAATTTGGCCCACTCAGTGTGGTAGTCAACTCCGTAAAAGATAGGCATCTGGTTGAGAGCGACTTTCGAGTGCGCAATAACGATGACTTCCTTCTTCTTGAGGCTGATGATCTTGTGATCGAAGTCGGGACCGAAAATTCCCAGCTGGTAGACGAGACATGTTCCCGCGCACTTCAAATGCTCCTTACTGCTGGATAGACCAAGGCTACGAGTGAGTGATTTTCCCCGAGGTCTCTTGGCATCATCGACCAAGCCTAGACGTTCCATCTGTTGTTCCAAATCGGACTTTGTATGATAGAAGCGTGGTGGTTCGCTGAGGAGAAGGGTGAAACTGGAGGGAACAGATGTGTGTATCATCTCGACGATGGAGGAGTGAGGGATCTCGACTTTGACTCCCTGCTCAAACTTTAGAATGAGCATTCTCTTGCCAAACTTTGCTAGGCCTCTTTGAGAAAGGCGACATTGTTCGTTGAAGGTCAAGGTCTTGTCTGGCTGAAAAGTGTTGTGGCCGCAAGCCAAGTGGCTGACTTGAAAAACGATGGCGTCGTCGGTAGAGGGAGCATCTTGCTGAGTCCGCTGTCTGTGTTTTTCCTCCAGACGATGGGTAAGACTCTTGATCATGAAAGGGTCGGGTGGTCTGTTGCTTGGGGCCACATAGACATGGGTGTTCATTAGAAACAGGTTTGCTCTCGCCCGTTCCTTGGGAGGCTTTCCTCCTTTCGAAGTGGGCTTGAATGTAGCCCCAGCATCAGGAAGGATGACCTTTCCATGACGTTTCAGAAAGCGTTTTCCGTCTTCTGCTTTGAGGAACGTCACCCAGCCCTTGTCGTTCTTGCTCTTCGTTGAGCATGCCCATTCAAGGATGCCGAGAGCATTCATGTGCGGCCTAAGCTCCTTCTCCAGAGTTCGATCCGTAAGGTGCCTAGGCACGTTGGTCAGGAAGACCTCCATTGCGAAAGTAATAGCAAGTTCGTGATGGGAAGCGGCAAGGTTTATTCGACTTGAAACTATGAGACGAGGCCGGGGCTAAGGATGAGACTGAAGCCCCCGAAGAGTGCGGGTAGTCAGAAGTTCGTTTTAAGAGCAATGCGAGTACATAGACGAGTTAAACCAAAGGCAGAAGCCAAAGTGTAGCGGACGCCGGGGTTGTCGATGGAAGGTGAATGGGTGTGTTGAGAGCATCTCACACCTGGAACGAGTATCAGTCCTGTTAGGTCACACAGCACACATCGAAAAACGACGGCGCACCCTTCTTTCCATGTATTTTGCCAGTCACATCTGAGAGGTACACCGCTCGGAATGATTGGACACGGTTAGGGATGGTAAAGAACAGCGAGCAGACTGCAGGTTGGTTTGCATATGTTGGGTCGACCCAGCGGACACTGTTTGCAGTGGCTGCAGCGATTGTCGAGGGAGCGGTGAAGACTGAATGAAAAGAGATGCGAGAGATGTCAAGTCGCGGGCTACAGAAGCGATTCGATTTACTGAAAATTCCATGAAATGCGGTCTCATCATGCCCGCGCTGACGTGGAAGAGAAGCTCCAGCTTGCTGGACACGTTGATTGCGAAAAGCTTCAAACGTCCCAAAGCTCGGTCTATCAGATGGCTATCTGCCCCACGCAAAGGTAGCCGCTCTGGGCCTTCTTCCCTCTGGTCCCGAAAGAGAACGGTCCTTCTTTGCTTAATGTGCAGCGGGTCAGGGGACCACAACTCAGCCAACCAGAAGGAGAGTACTGGCCCCTCCATTGGACTGGCAGGTGGCAAGAGGCAGGTGGCAGATGGCAGGTTTGTTGACGGTGGTGGCTTCCTTCAATCAAACTGACTGAGGGCGTGGGGGTAGGAGCGGAAAGAAGGATGGGAAGCTACAGGTAGCGATGAACCTGTCATCTGATACTTCACCATTGTAACATTCCGAACAGGCAGGCAGATTCAAGAGTAGAGAGGGAAGGAGCTTAAGGTGTCCGTATCTCACCTCAGGGACTTGGACAAATCCTTCCGAGTTCTTGCCGATTGCCGTTTCCATCCGAAACCTCGACGTCGTTTCCCATTCCACCTGCCTTACCGTACGGAATACCTTGATCAAATCCACACGTCGGATGCCGTTGAGAAAATGCGATGCTCTACGCGGTGGCGAAGTAGTCCTCCATTTGAGAGATGCATATTTGCTTCGAGATCCAGATGCGACAAGTCAAGGGGAATATTCAGTCAATAGCCTTCAACGAAACGGCCCATTACCACCACCGATATCGCTCCAAGCATATGCTCCTGGAAGAATCATCAATCGCGAGGCAGCGATGCGAAAGGTGCTGGCAGAACACTTTTCCGCCACAATGCGCCAGGTTATTTATTTCGACAATGGCTGGCCGAGGCCGACGCCCCTCGTCCCCACGGTTACCGCACCTTGGGTTGGCAAGACGCGGATTCTCTGAGATACATCGTCCCATTGAGATAAACCGGTCCCATCGAAGAAACTTCCTCAAAGCATCCTTGAAAGCATTGACTTGAATTGCCGTCGCACAGCTTGCCGTGTCAAGATCCCGAACGCGCTGGACCCTCTCTCCAATTTCGACCCCGCGTTCGTCATAAGCCCCGCCCCGAGCTTCCCACGGCACCCGAAGTCACCCTGACTGAATACCTCACATACCGAGTTCCCCCGGCCATTTGTCTTTGCTCCTTTGCAAATCTGTCCAAACTTCTCAATACACCTCAGACAACACCAATTGAGTCAAGTGTTCACCATGGCGCCCCCCGGAATGCTCTACGTTACTATGCAGCCGAAGCCTGAACTGGCTATCGAGCAATTCCACGAGTGGTACAACAACGAGCACGGCCCAACCCGCCTGCGTCTCCCCCAAATCTTCACCAACGGCCTGCGCTACCGCGCCAACGACGGCAAGGAGCCGACCTACCTCGCCTCCTACGATGTGACGGACATGTCCCACCTCGAGACACCCACATACACCACGCTCCGCGCAAACAGATCTGCTCGTGAGGCTGAAACCATTGGCCAGGTGGCCGTCACCAGATACTTCTTCGACTTGGTCATTGAGCAAAAGGCCCCTCTGTTCATCCCCATTGAGCAGCTTTCCGACGAAGAAGCCGAGGGCATCGAGCTCGTGGCCATTGAGACCACTCTCAAAGACGAGTCAGACGAGGCCGAGTTCAAGAAGTGGTACGCCGAAGAACACATTCCGATGCTGTCCAAGGTTCCCGGTTGGCTGAGGACCCGTCTCTTCAAGATTTCCTCCATTGGCGACGGCGTCGGCAGCAACACTACCTTCTTCGTACTCCATGACTACGCCCGTGCAAATGGCTTGGGCGGTCCCGAACACAAGGCCTCTACGGCTACTCCTTGGGCTGCAGAGATGGTTCAGAAGGTCGCAGGCATGAACCGCCGTACCTACTCTCTCTTCTACGTCTTTGGTCCCGCCTCTCGCGACCTGGAGAATTTGGCCAAGCTGCCGGCCACGGCTTCCACCTTTACTGCCCCGGATGGCAAGACCACTACTGTTCCCGGAAAGGACGAGGTCATCGACTCGTACATCACAGCCGAAGATCAACTTTCGATCCCTTACAAGCTGGAAGGCAACCCTTCGCCCAAGGCACCTACCGTAGCATTCTGCAATTCTCTGCTGACGTCTCTGCACATGTGGGATCCAGTCGTGAAGATCTTGAAGGAGCAGCGCCCCGACTTGCGCATTCTGCGGTACGACACACGAGGCCGACACGCCATCCCGGGCCCGCCTGTGCCGGCAACTCTGGACTTGCTTGCCTCTGATCTGTGCAGTGTTCTTGATGCACTTCGCATCCCCAAGCTGCACGCCCTCATCGGAGTGTCGATGGGAGGCGCAACAACAACCAACTTTGCGCTCAGGTACCCCAATAGACTGAAGAAGTTTATCGCCTGCGATTTCAACGTGACGTCGAGTGCGGCTAACACCCAGGCCTGGAAGGATCGCATCGTGGTTGCAGAGGAGAATAGCGGAGCCGGAATCGCAAAGCTGGCCGAGCAGACGGTAGTTCGGTGGTTCCATCCGGCCACGTTGGAGAAGGAGGACGTGGTAAAAGCCATGACGGAAATAGTCGCAGCAAACAACGTAGAAGGCTTCAGATATAGCTGCCAAGCGCTGTGGGACTATGATCTGAAGCCAGAGCTTGGTTCTTGCCAAGTTCCCGGCTTGCTGGTCGTGGGTGATGGCGACGCCAAAGGTGCGCTGGTCAAGGCAATGGAGGGCTTCAAGGGTGCGTTAGGCGACAGCGGCGCCGAGTTGAAGATTGTGCCAAACGCCGGTCATCTTCCCATGTGGGAGAGCCCTGCAGCGTTCTGGGAAGCCATCCAGGCATTTTTGTAAAATAGTTCTCTTAAAGAGAGTTTCTTCATCGAACGCAACAAAAAGCTTGGCCAAAGAATGATTCAATCGAGAGTTTTGCCGCAAACAACTCTGCTGACATGCTCAGCCGGGATTAAGAGTCGACGAGAGGGGCACGAAAGGGGGCCATTAACGCAATCGATCTGCCATGAGACACCGGCTGCCTATACCGAGCAGAGATGTCCCCTGCACCGCTTGCAACTCACAGCCTGCAGACATTAATTAGTGTTCACCGCTGTTGTCGTCATATCGAGCAGAAGTTCTGATATGCAGCGGATTTAGAGAGCGCTGTCAGGGGAGGGGGCTTGACGACCATCAAAGTCTATCTCAAACAAACACTAACCCAATCAAGGTTGACGCTAGGATCACGATTCGTGACGCGGCGACCGTTTGGCGACCAGCCCTGTCGAATGCGGCCTTGTACAGGAATCACGCGCCGCAACGCCGTCTCGGCGCGACGCTGTGAAGTGCAGCTCGTGGATCACGCCAGAATAAGGGGAAGAGGGCAAGACTCGACGGTCACGGACGAGAACAGCGGTTACGGCATGCGCCCAAGAGTCTTGAAAGTGCGAAGTTGAGTCAGAGACTGAGATGGTCTATTACGGCTTAGACTCCAAGAGGCTTGAAGATTTGGCCGGCAAGTCGCTTGACGGTCGAAAAGTTGACAAAGCTGCTAAATCGCTGACAGGTATGCGGGCGCCGTTTCATCGAAAGTGCCCACAGACGACGAGTTGGAAAGAACCAGACTGATGATTGACTGATAAGTAAACGAACCCGTAGAACCGTGGAACGAGACGGAATCGCCAATGACCTAGAGGCTCGGCGCATTAAAGAAGAAACGGTCTGGCGGCAGTTGTCTTGGCGAGTTCATCTCGACTACGCGGATCGACGCATGGGAATGCCCGAAACGAGATTCACTCACTATGCGACAGGCCAGCGGCCCAGTAGGCTCAGCAGCGCGCCACGACGGGATCCATACTCCATAGTGAAAGGGGGCAGACCGGACGGCGGGAAGTAGGACCTAACGAGGCAAAGAAAAATTCAATCGGAAAAGACAGAAAAAACGTGGGCGCCAGCGAGAAATGTGGATCGATACTCAGGGGAATATGGCACTAGGAACCACACCTTAATTATTCAGACCATGCGGAGAAGTGCGAGACCGAGGCACTTGCACAACTCACTGGCAGTTTTGCTGACAGAGAGTTACAGACTCGCAGAAATGCGACACTCGAGGAGTCGAGAATGAGTATATGGATAAGAGGAGAGAGAGAGAGGCTAACGGGAGAGTATGCATCACTGGCGTAGATCGGCACTCGGACTATGTCTTACGGTCATCTTTGACACTCACTCAAGAATGGAGCTATGGGGATATGCATATTTGCAGGTTCCTCTCGCGAAGATGGGGCGTATCCGAACAGTCGTCACCACTAGCCCCTCTACAAGTAGTCATCATCTTCGGCTCCGAACCACTTAGACTGCGTACTGATAGTACGAATCACGATATCGTTGAGCGTATCCGTATGATGCAAGTCAACTTGCAAGAGCAAGACAAGTTACTGGCAATAGGACAAGGTCTGGGTG